AGATGAGACAAGAACAGATGAGATTTGCTACTTGGCATCTGACAGACTGAGAATTGTACACATGCACACAAATACATATACATGTATATATATTTAGCATTCCCTCTGCTGGTAGTCATCACAAGCTTGAAGTAGTGTTGTCCAAGTTAGGTGGTTGGTTCATGTTTGTTTACTATCATTTGACCTATGTTGAAATCTTGAGTTGCTCAGCTCTTGCTGAAGTACGTAATTCCCTTAAGCAAGATTTAACTTAAAAATATCTTGTTAAACGTGTAGAGGAAATGCCTGTACACTGTGGACGTTTGGTAGCAAGGCTGTCTTCAATTTTGGAGCCTTAACTAGAAAACTCCTAAATGTAGGTAGATATCAAGTATTTCTTGGTGTGATGCACTAAGCATATTGACCACCTTTCTGCCAATCCGTGGATGTCGTTTGTATGGAAGTTTGGATGATCACTGTCTTTTCACCATTTCTTTAAAGTTTGTTTATTTGACGCTCCCCCCATGACTCGTAAGTGTGGTGTCTTTAGGTGAAGATTTGTATCACTTCAGCACTAAAGTTAATGAAAACAGAAAATCTGAATTAGTTTAGCTTTCTGAAAGTTGCAGAATGGATTAATAGGCAAAAGTTGTCTTATGTGCTGAATTAGTGTAAGAATAAATTTATTGCAAAACCAGGAAATACAGCTTTCTTAAAAACACTTGAGGAATTAAGAGAGGGAAAAAAAAAATCCTTTTCCTCTCTTAAGGAAGAGAAAGGGGAAAAAAGAAGGGAAAAAGAAACAAGGAGACAGGAATAGTTGCTGCTTTTGGACTCCCTGTGTAGTAGTGGGAAAGAAAATGGATCTGAATCTGATACCATTTGTAAACTAATACTTTTATATGTTATCTAGCAAGAGTATTGTGAGGGTGTAAGTTACTGTGTGAGACATGCTGAGATATGGGGGCTGTATTAGAAACAAGCACCCATCTGTATGGCTCTGCTCTCTGTAAACTTGAAACAAACTACCCTGTATTATTGCATACACCAATGTAATGTTATGTTAACAATGCGAAGCTTTCGCCTTACCTGGAAATAAAGCCGGTTTGCAATAGAATATTATACTACTGTAGCTTGCAATAGACAATTAGACTAGTGTAACTTGCACAAATGCGGTTTCATCCTGCGAGGCACCCTGTTCTAGGCGAGCGCTGTGCACTGCGTCTGGGCACAGCTTTCATTGCTTTGCCAAAGCCTCTTCAGTCATTTGACTGTATTAACTTCCTTGTACAGTTTGCTACAGTAGCTGGATGGTTCTAATGAGCGTAGCATTCTGTTCCAGTTCACTTTCTTTCTTCACATTTGGCTATGCGTGGTGCTTTCTGATAACAAATTCTGCATGTAGGCAGGGCTGGGCCCTGCTTACTTCAACAGTCGCAGAAGTCAGTGGCAGACGGCTGAATCTCAGACCTCCTAAGAGACTGACCACGTGTGTATTTTCAGATGCACCCCCACTTGTGAGCAGCAGAAACCTGGGAAGGTAAGGAGCAAGTTTGGGGTTTTTTTGCTTACCCAGTGATTCTTTAATTAGTGTGGTCTTGTGTAGCTGTGCTAAGTATTCTTTTTCCTCTTTTGTCCATCTCGGAGATGAGAAGAGGAAGCTTAAGCCCAGTTCCTGAGATGTGAAGATGAAGTTTAAGCCCGGTTCCGGAGTAAGTACATCCTGAGAATGTTCTGCTGTGCCTAGGGGAATGCATGGCCCTTTCTCAAGGGGGAGAGAGTTCCAACTGGCTCACCATACAAAGGAGAATGTTTTTTGTCAGTGAAATGGCGAAAGACAAGCTGTCATAGTTTTTTATCCTTTAACTAGCAGCTTTTTTCTGTTGTAGATCTGAGATGCAGTAGATGGTGCTGAAGCAACACTGAGGCTCCTGAAATATCCACAGTCCAGTGTGTATATAGAAAGTGCCTCCTGGCTTTCCCAAACATTGACGGTCCTGTGTCTTCAAGAGATGCACTCTGGAAAAAGAAAACACCGACTGTTAGTTTTAAAAATGTTAATAAATAATTCTTTGTGTTACTTTTTTGTTCTTTATTGCTTGTGAAAGTAGGCAGATTAGGTAGCACAAATACCAACCAAGTAGTGCTTCAGGTGGTTTCAGCTCTGTGTGCAGATAGTGGTCAAATGTAAGCTCTTTGTCAGCTGTTGCTCAGTGTTGCCAAAATCAGCACTGAAAGATAGGTGGAAGTTTGAAAGGACACTGCTCTAGGAATACATACTATAGCGCAGAGGCACAGTGCTCGTGTTTCCTGTCTGTCCACACACTCACTGGGAGAAGCATGCAGGCAGGAAATGTTTCATGGTATGACTAAGAAGCTGTATCAAGGTTTGTACTGTCAAAATAATGCACTGTCAGCAAGCCTAGGTAACATGAGCTATCTTTGATTGTTCTGCCAAAGGTCCTCTCAAGAATGCAAGTTGATAGAAGTGGTCAGGGTGCCGAGTAATGACACAGTGGCATCATCTCTCAGTTCATGGAAGTACCTGTCTCTTTGAACTGAGCAGATTTGACAAGTGGTAGATACTTTATATCCCATTAGTGAAGGTAAATAAGTCTGCCTTTTTTAAATTGGAGCCATTAATTTAATATTACGACTTCTGTTTGGTAATTTGCCTGAGGGCAGGATCACTAGGACTTCATCACTGACACATATCCAACAAAGAATGCTTAGCTGACTTTAAAGATGAAATCATGGGCCAAAAAAATCTCTGTTCTTTCCTCAGCATTTGGTTTTGTGAATAACCAAGATTCCTGTCCACTGCTTCTGAAAATTCTGCTAGTAGCATGATGGAATTGGTGTGATATGGTAGTGTCACTTTCTGGGGTTGTGAATAGCAATAGGGAACTTGACTGGCTTTCTGAACCAATGGAAGTTATTTTCACTGTTTTTAAGTGTAGAGAGTGGATGAATGGGTAAGTGCACTTCTTGCGTTTTCCTCCCCCTGGTTGGAGGATCTTAAGCTTTAGAAATGCTTTAGTGTTTCACGGTTCTTTGGCTTCTCTTCGTTTAAGAGAGCCCTCCCACTGCCTATAAAAGCTGCCTATAAGTGGCTTTTTTCAGATCATTTATGTATGTGTGAACATAAATAGACACCCACACCTTTTACATGGGAAGTGAAAACTATAGGAAAAAAATTACAGTTATCTTGGGTGACTTTGTACACACCACTTCTGTATATAAGGGATATGAGCCTGAGAGCAATGGAAAATTGCTTTCCCTTGTTACGTTGTGCTTCTGGTTTTTCCAGTGTATAATAAATACACCCTACAGGATTCAGGATCCTTATGTAAGGGGAGAACGGTCTTTATCCACAGCAAGTACCTTCTCAGTAAGTTTTATAAGCGAATACTATGTTTTTAGCTTGGGGGGGAATGGGGTGTGTGAAATTATCCCAAGTTGAAATTAACTTCTCTAACTTACAAGAGAGGAAAAAGCAAAATGTCCTTGTTAGCTTATTTAGAAAACTCCTAATCAAATGCAGCATTTGAGGGCTGCCTTACTAGCGGTCTATTTTGTAACTTTTTTCCACTTTTTACTACTGTGAGCAGTATATAAGGACTAATGTAAGGTGACTAGTTTTATAACACTTCAGCTGGATCCTTACGGATTTGTTGAAATCCTGTAGCAATCAAAACCGAGAGCTAATGATAGTTGTAGGCTGGTACCTATTTTGACTGGTCTACCATGGGGCAGTTAAGTGTAGAGGTTATTTTAAACGTTAGATGTTCTAGTAGGATTACATTATTTTAGCAGTTTCTTAAAAAAAACATACAAAAAAAACATACTCAAAAAAACTTGCTTTTTGACTGTTACAGTGCAGATTGTAGAATTTCATTTTCTAGATTTTTAAATGTGTATTTATTTATTTCAAGAATACATGTTTTCTTATGCACTGTATTCTGAAGAAAATTGTTCGGTTTATTAGATTCTGCTGTAACTTTAGTCCGAATTCTCACAGCCTTGTGCTACCATCAAATGAATCTCACTTTGTCTTTCTGTTGGGACCCAAGTCTTATTGAAGTTTCTTTCTCATTTAGATACTTGATGAGCTTACTTTCAGCTTTTTGGGGTGATATAAATAATTGAAGATTTTAGGCCTTGTATTACTAGGCAGGTTTTTCAGCCTTAAGTCTTTGAACATATTTATTTATGCATTTATTTTAATGTTCAGTATCTTCAAGACTCAACACTTCAGTCCGTGCATAATGCCATATCCAGAAGTAATACATTTGTATGTCGCTTTGACTTCAAACTTGCTTGTAAGAATTGCACTCAAGGTCTCTTCTGAAGTAGCTAAATTTTGGTTTTAGTGATTTTGGATTACTGCTTTTCTGGGTGCAGTAACGTGAGTTATGTTTTTAGATAGGTGATGTGTTTGCATTTTAAGTGTTCAGATGCATATTTTTCAAAATGGCATGCTTTGCAAGGTTAGTATGTGTAATGGATCTGTTCTTGTCACTGACGAAGCTTAGTGTTTGTGTTGCTCTTGGTAAAAGAGAGGGATGTTTTTGAATTTGTGTTATGTTAGCTTCTAAAAATACTGACAGGGTGCGCATTGTGTTTACCCTGAAAGAAATACCCCTTTTGATGTTGATTCCGCATTTACAGTAACTTATAATCGGTTAATTGTTTTTAATCCATAATACAATCAACACAAAAATAACATTATCCAAAATTAGTAAGGATGGCACATGGAGCTAGGCCAAGTGCCTTATGGGCATATCTGTCACAGTTGCTTTTATTGCTTGTATTTGTGGTTTCTTCTGGTTGGAGACTTTGACTGATACTTGTTTATTCACACTTACTGTCTGTTGATTTTCCTTCATGCTGTCAGTATTCACATTTTAATTTTTTCTTTTGCCCTTGCTTGCTGGGAAAGATAAAGGCATATTAGAAACGTATAATGCTTAGAGAAATTGCAGGAAAATGCTCCCTGTATTTTGAGTGGAGTCACAAGGAGTCACACCCCTACACTCAGCCAAGTCTTTGAAATATTTTTGTCAAAGTCAAGACCTGTTTATTTATCCTTTCAAGAAGAGAAATGGGTATTACATCACCTTTAAAGGAAGGAGTCGTTCCATTGCTTTGAATTTTTATGTATCCTTCAGATGGGATACAGAAGGCTAACGGTGATTTGAAAAATCTGAATGTAAGGAACTTGTGCTAAAATCACTCTGTTCAATACTAGGAATCCTTTTTATTGCCACACATTGTAAGAAAACAAAGCGGTGAAATAAAGCAATTAAAAAAAAAACGATGTCAGTGACTTATGAGATTTTTACATGTAAAAATGGTACTTTAAATTTTGTGTGTGCAGGTGCATGTTTCAGTCCATTTGCTTTGTGCATGTCAGAGTAAGCTTTAAGAAACTGATCCCCTAAAACTTGAAATGGGTTTAATTTAGGTATTTGCACTTCTTAAAGGCATTTGACAAAGAATATTCAACTCGATGAGCACAAAATTTGATTACTTTCTCTATGAACGGCACACTGTATCCTGCTCTGAAAAGTAAAACCCACACAACTAATATTGCAGTGTGTCAGATTTACTTTGCATTGCTGTGCATGAAAAAAGCAGAGACAATACTCTTTTTTGATTCCACACCTGAAGCATAAATGGGGGTATATTTAACTTGTTTAACTATAGATGTTTAGTCATAAAACTTCTGCAGTTGAAATTGAAATAACATCATCATTTAATTCCTTTGTCATGTTATCTCATCTTTCATGATTTAAGTTTTCAGCTGTCTGATATGTTCTGTGCCTACTCGCTAGTTAGCTTTGAGTAATTTATGTTAGTTGGTATAGACTTGGTGAGCTTTATTTATCAGGTACTGCAGATCTGCTGCTATAAACTTTCTAAGCTCTCTTTTTCTGCTCATTGGAGTTGCTCAGGTATTTTAGTGATGATGCTTTGGAAATTGCTTAGGTAAGTGACACGGTATTTTGTAGATTAGACAGCTTTGAACGTTTGTATATAAAGCTGTCTGGTGTAAAGACTGGGTGGATTGTTTATTATGTGAAATAGCATTCAAACCTTTCCTGTGGTGTTATGGATATGAAACCAATGTGTCAAGTCAAATACAGTAGCCCAGTCTCCTATACTAGAAGACTAAAGCATCCTAGATGGTGGTGGTGTGTGGTTGCATGTCATAAATTGTGCAAAGCTGAGTGGAAGTGACAAAATAAATATATATTTAAAAAAAGGGGGGATGACTTGGGAAAATTAAACTATAATTGTCGTGGTGACTCAATGTACTTCTCAGTGCTTCATTTCCCAGTGCTGACTAAGATGGGCGAATTGTTGGGAATATACTGGAATGGAATTTCAGTATTGTATTAAAGAGGAGAAGAAAATAGGAAAGAAGTGGAAGCTTTTGAGTTTAATAACTGTAGGGTCCAGTCTGCAAGTCTGAACTATATTTTAAAGGTTTCAGTTCCTGTTTTGCTCGTGTAATGTAATTAGTTTGTATCCAGGTGTGTCATCTTATTGGTAAGATGGTCCCTTTGGGAAAGAACTTGTCTTGATGAGAAAGGATGAATGCAGTCTGTAAGTCAGTAACTCATCTATGAAAGAAAGAACCTCTGCAATCATTAGCTCAAGTGGTTTGCAGAATATTCTGCCATATGTATGGGGTGTTTGGGGTTTTGGGTTTTTTTCTGCAATGCTTTTTTTTACATGTTCGTGATCTTTTTGCTTTCAGGTCTTGAGTATAAACTTACGTAAGTTCTAAAAATGGGAAGAATTTTTCTGGATCATATTGGTGGCACTCGCCTGTTCTCCTGTGCAAACTGCGACACGATTCTGACCAATCGTTCTGAGCTCATCTCCACTCGTTTTACAGGGGCCACGGGAAGAGCCTTTCTTTTTAACAAGGTTGGTAAGAAGCTGAGGGGAACTACTATTTGCTTTTGAAAAATGAGTTTGTGGGATATGAATCTGTCATCAAAACTAAAAAACTTCTTGGCTAAAGTGTTGTGTAACTATTTTAATTTTTTATTTTTATTCTATTCAACTGTCTTTGAATTCAAATTAGGCATTTATTATTGATGGCAAGCGATCTAAATTAGTTTATCTGCAATACTAAAAGACTCTAAAGAGGATTGTGTATATAGAGGCATCGTGCCAAAATGCATGGAGTTTTAACTTTGGAGACTTCTGTAATATGAACCTCAAATTCACTGTGAGAGTATCTTTGGTCTATCAAAGTTGCAAAGGCATTTGCACTTTTACTCAGTAAAAGAAAAAAGTCTAAATAATCTGTTTAATTTCAAAAATGCATTTAGGCTAACGGTAGTTTGGCAACTTGAGGTAACCACAATGTCTTTTACAGGCAATAATACTCTGGTTTAGTTTAATATTTATTTTTTTAATTGATCAAACTTGATTTAATTCACCAGATTGAAATATGGAAGTCATAACTCTGAGTGAATTGTAGCATTATTTATTAACCCTTCCATATAGACTTGTCCCTTAGACTCATTGAAAAAACACTGATCGTCCTTTGCTTTCTTACAAAGTTCCTGGTCATGTAATCGTTGGTGTGTTTTGGGTTGGGTTTTTTCTTGAAAGCTATTTGGCCATTGATAGAGGCATCAGTAATGTCTTCACTCAGCAATGTCTTCACTCAGCTGTGCTCGGCCTTGGGATTTTTGGCATGCTGAATCCTGTCAGTAGTATTTATATGTAAGTGTTAGGCTGCATAGCTATAAAAGAGCTGTGCATCTGGTTTCTTTCTCATCCAATAAGCACTGGCTCCTGGGGTTCAAATTTTTCTTGTGTTAAATAGTGGGGTTTAATCACAGAAGTTTTGATTTTTACGTTTCTGCAGTCAGGAGCCTTACATCTGAAGCAGTAGAAAACTGAGAAAGCAGTGGAGCCCCATCTTTTAGAATCCTACTGCGTATTAGCAGTTTGGATATAGTTCTGACATCAGCTTTTCAACAGATTCTACATTCTGGTTCTGTGGTGTCGCTGCCTAAACAAGTTAAAAGTATATTTTAAACTGCCGAGATAGCACACAAAAAAAGGTGCAAGTTTAATGCCTACGTTCTCAGCCACTGAGCCTTGCTTTTTCTTAGATGATTATTTCAAGAGCACCCGAAGATTTTTAAAGAAGTACCTCTTTTAATATTTTGGTTCTGATTTCTGGGAATAAGTGATCACATCGGTGCTAGAAATGGGTTACATATATTGCAAGTGGATTAATATCAGTTCGTTTACAAGGAATTTCTCACCCAAAGTTGAACACAGTACTCTGTGCTCTCGTATGTCTTGTAATAGCATTTCATGTCTCTCAGTTAAACAGTGAGGGTTACACATCGCCATGAAGCACATCTTTAAAGTGTTTCCTTCTCAAGCAGGAGATTTCCAAGGGCTGTTGGCTTATTACACTGCAGTTTTCAGTTCATGTGCAGTGCCACAGGCTCTTTCCTTTTAAAATGTTGATAGTCATGCACATTGTTACCAAGCTTTGCTCTAGGCAGACTAATCCTTTCTATTCCCTATCCCCTGTATATTTGTATCAGGTGGTAAATCTGCAATACAGTGAAGTTCAGGATCGGGTCATGCTCACTGGCCGCCACATGGTTCGAGACGTGAGCTGCAAGAACTGCAACAGCAAACTGGGTTGGATCTATGAATTTGCCACTGAAGACAGCCAGCGCTACAAGGAAGGCCGTGTTATCCTGGAAAGAGCGTTGGTCCGAGAGAGTGAAGGATTTGAGGAGCATGTTCCATCCGACAATTCCTGAAGAGACTTGAGTCTCTTCGCAGGTTCTCTTCAATTGAAACTCAAAAATAATAAAATCAACAAAAAAATCTGCTTACATACACTGTCACCTTAGCATCAGAGTCGGATTCATGGACTACAGAGTGGGAAAGATTGTGAGAGTATTTCAGATGGAACCTTCCTTTCTTTATTCCTTTTATATTTTACTTTCCCTCCAGCAGCTGTTTGTAGAAAGAATGTTGTGCAGATGCTGTAACTTTTTCTCTCTTGCATTTACATCTGTTAGATTTGAGATTGTATCTACAGATACAATGGACTAAAAGGAAAATATTTGGGGGATTTGTCTTTTGTTAGAGAGAAATTCAGTGAGTTTTTTTAGTTTGCACAAACTGATGTCAGCATAAAGTTATTTTAAAACTACAGATGTTTTTTAAAAAGTATATTCCAATTTTTGGCTTAAGTTTTTAGTTAGTTTTTTTTTTTTACCCAGTCTTTTCACCTGATTTGCTAGCTAAAGTAAAGAGATCCGAATTTGTGCCGAGTGCTAAAGGTTCAGTGTTGGTACAGCTTGGGCTGGCCCTTGTGCCATATTCTTGTTGAGGTTGATTGGTAGCACAGAGCCCATTATTTCTTGTCGTTCTTGACCCAAAGATGTCACCATTCCTTGTTTATTTGTGAAGTCCCATTCACCATGTAAACTGGTGTTGATTGGAAACTATTCTTGAAATAGGGCAAAACTGCTTGGCTTTTTTTAACTTTAACTGATGTAACTTATAAGCATAGTAATAATATAAAATAATAGTTGTCTGTTTAGTCTTGCGTTGCTTACAGATCAGAAGCTGTGTTTGTAATGATAGGGATCCACTGAGAAACTACTGTTTCAGTAGTAATTTTTTTTCGTTGCTCTACTAATCTCATTAAGTAGACAGGCAATTGCAAATCTTAATTCTTCTTCAAGTAGCTTTCTTTAAACCCAGAACTTCCTACGTTAAACACAGCTGCTGTGTAAAAGGAGAAGATTGCCAGCATGTTTGTTCATGCCTAGAGTTATGCAATCTGCATCTCTTGAAAAAATTAACTTAAACAGCTTGTTTTCAAATGCTGCTTCTGGTGTTGAAACCTTTATCTTTCAACTTTGTTGAACCTTTTCATTGTGATGGTACATTTTTATCTTTCTGGGCAGCAGTACATGTCAGCCTAGTAGTAACTAGTGACTTGGATTCCTGCTTTCTTCTTGTAGAGGACAGCTCTGTTTAAACCAGTGATCTTGCTTGCCTTTTTAGCAAAAATGCTCTTCATTAACTTAACTCAAGGGTGCCCAAACACTTTCATTGTGTCTTAAGCCATAAGTTAAGATCTCAAGGGCTGAAATTTATTTGAATGTTAGATATGTATGATTCCTTATCAAAGATACAAGTTGGTTTGTTTTTTTTTCCTTATTGGATAAATTGTAGTCAACGTGAAGTAAGTTACCTACAGACGTACAAGAGGGGAAAAAAACCCCACCCAACCAAACAGATCTCGGCTCCAACCTTTCAGAATAACGTTTCTTCACTAGCCACAGCTCCGTATCTGAAACTAAAATGTGGAGGGTGACTATGCAGAGTATTTTTCGTAATTTTTTTGGTTGCCAAGTGGCAATTTGGACACCCCTGACTTGAATCTACTGCCTATTTCATGTAAAAGTAGCTTTATTATAGAATTGTCACATAGAAAGAAAACAGAGTAGATCACATACCAGAGCTGTGCTTGAATCAAGCTGCTTAAACAATAGTGTACTTGTGCCTCAAATGAATCAGTTTTTGCACTGAGTACAGTAGTACCCCATTATCTTGTACTTCTGTCCTTCACAGACCCTAAAAGCCCCATTAGCATGGTTCTCTTCAGTACTTTTCTTGTACTTCTGACATTACAGTACAATAAAGTATGTTTTGTCCTGAATTGATATTTGCCTTTCTTCTTGAGTAATTTTCCTGGAGTCTGTCAACTGAATGACATAACCTGTCTTCCATTCCCTACATTTACTTCCATTTAGTAAATCATCGCATTTCTACAGCACAGTGACAAGCTGTTGATTGGCATCTCTCTCTGAATAGGTGGTGTACTGTTGATTTTGGAAGGTGCTAAGTAAAGCTTCATGTGTACCACTTGGACACTTGAAAGCCTTCAATTTACTCCTGTTAGAGAGAAAATAAAAACAGGAAATTGCTCATTTAATGGAGTTCTGGGTGCCAAACATCTTTCTCTGTCTTTGAAAACACAGCAAGCTAAGCAGAACTCCAGCTTCTGCAAGAAATGTGAAGTTTTAGCTTCTGAAATGGCTTGGGAATTCAGGAATTGGGAATTTGCATATCTGGAATTCTGTGACCTTTTTTCTTTGCATGCAAATGTTAGGGAGAAGCCTTCTGTTAGCAGCTGGTCAACTTCATAAGCTGTAGTTGAAGAACTGAGGTGAAAGCATCATTATATTGGTGTAATGGAGCCTGACGGGCTTATTCTAAATATTAAGACCTCTTCATTTTGGTAGAAAGTTAGACTGTGAGATGTTAAAGATTACTTTCCCCAAAGTATGATTTGAAAAACACTTAGTGAGGTGAATTCACTAAAAGCTTATGAGGCTTAAGCAAGTCCACTGCAGCTTTAAAACAGACGACTTCAGATTGCTCTTTTAGCCTACATGCTGTTCCCTTCCATATCACATTGATGGCTCTGTGGGAGAGTTTAGCCTCATAAATTTTGACTGCTCCTCCCTAAGATGCTTTGTGTGTGAATACAGATAACTTATCTGCAGGGAACAAGACGATTGGTTACAGTACGGCTAGCAACAGAGAAGACATTGCTATTTGGCGTTAAATGTTTTTTTTTTGTAATAGTGCAGTAGCCTTGGATTCCCAAACAAGGCATGGCTGGCACAGCAAGATGTGCCACTACAGTGAACTTGTGCCTGGCATGTGATGGTGTGTCTGTGCTGTCTTAGACAAAGAAGGTAGCAAGGCAATTACAGTGCACAACAGACTCCACTGTGCATTGATGGAGACCTCAGAATTTGTGCTCTTAGGCTGCTGCTTGGGCTGGCAGTGGTGCTATGACTTTTGCCTAACATTAGCTCTATTAGAGTTTACGTTAACCGCGCGCTGATCTCATCCTGTAGTTGCAGTGTAGGTATACCCAAAACTGAAGTACTTCATTAAAGCTGGTGATTACCATTTCAGCAAAACACAGCTTTGGGAAGATGAAAAGATTGGATGGTGTGTTCGTGGATTGAAAAAGCGTTTTAATTATGCTTTCTATGGATGTTCAAAAGAACTTTTGAAATGGCATACCGCATCTCATGGCTCTGTTAGAAAAGGTAGCATTACACTGGGCTCTGGGGATGGCTATGGTCAGCTTGTTCTTACAGGGCAAGCTTGCCTCTTCAGATTTCTGTCAGAGCTGTAGGAAATAAAGTCAGCAGATCATCAGTGGATTAACAGGTAAGGAACCAGTGAAGCTGCAGTTCCAGGACTCAATTGCCAGGTATAAGGAAGAGGTGACTGGGAAGGTTATGGCATTGATGTGGGAAAAGGCTAGCTGGTTAATCAACCCTGCATTAGAAGAGAAACCTAAGCTGTCATGTTGCAGTACCATTGTGCAAAAGCCAGAAATAGTGTGTTGTGTTTCCTTCTTGGGCCTGCCTTCACTTCTTTAACAAAATGATTTTAAAAAAAAAAAAATCCAGTGAAGCTTGGTTTCCTGTGGCTCTTGAGGGCTTTGTGGGCTCCCTGATGCTTGATGGGGATGAAATGCTTCAGACTTTGTTCAGTTGGGGCACTGATTAGGATCGATCTCCAGCTGGGCCCTGTTTTTGCAGGACTTTAAAGAACTAAGCAATTTTGAGACCCTTTTCTTCATAAGCTGGAGTTAAAAGTGCCCAATAACTTAAAAAGATCACTTTAAGTGGTAAGGAGGAGTATGACCTGATTGATGATGTCACTCTGTAAGCCTTTTTCTTCTTTCAGGAGATCTGAAATATTATGGCCAAAGGAAATGAGCTCCTGTCTGTCTCGTCAACTATTATGTGGCAAAGACATTCAACAGCTTCTGACAAGCCTAATTCTGACAGCGTGGAGCTGTTGCTGGTCTCATTGCTACTTCCCCCCCACCTCTCTTTGGTGTAAGGGTTTCTGGTACGTGTAGGAAATTATAAGGGGAGAAATCTCACATTTGCCTTCCAGCCTTTTGTTTGTTTACTAATAGGGTTGTTCTTATTTGAATGGGTTTCTGTGATGCTAGTAAAACTGCTGGCAGTCTAATGCCAGCCTTTCACTAGGTAAGGGGCCCCTCTGGCAGGGTATCAGTGACATTATCATCTCTCTCATCCTCAAGTCTAGGCAGAGGTTATTTGGGAGTGATACTTGGCTGAACATCCTGATCTGGGTAGAGGTGATGAGAAGGAAGGCCTCATTCACCCTGTTACAGGACACTTCCATTCCATTGCTGTCTACATCTCTTTCCATCTGATGTTATTGTCGGTGTGATCTGCTGAAGTTTGCATTGCGGCTCCTCCTTTTAAAAAGGAGGTGACTGTGAGACAGCAGCCTGTGCCTCTTAAACGTGACATTTCTCTCTCAGGGGCCTGAAATACTTACAGGCTGCTCTGTCTTCTGCTCAGTTTGAAGGGGTGGCTGTGTTCCTGTTTGACTTGTTACTGCAAAAATAAATCCTGGCACTTGTCTAAGAAATGGCCAGAGTGTCTCTGCAATGGGAGGCAGGTTATGGAAGAGAAACCCAGATAAAAGAGTAAGAAAACGATTGTGTGTGTGTGAGGGGGGATTCAGGTCTTAATAAACCAGACAATTTCACTCAGAAGCAGTAGAGGTGGAAGACATTCTAGAGGTAAGCATGCACCTTTTATGACGTGTGGTCATAAAAGTGGGAAATGGGAATCAGTTGGGCACTGTAGAGGATCTAAGGTCCCCTGATAAGCAGAAGAAGAGACTGAATTTAAGTGCTTCTGTTTCTTTTGAGAAACCTCATTGAATGTCCTTGCTGTAGGATACTGATAACGGGAAGTGCAGAACCAGAGCTAAGTTTCTGGCCTCTGTGTTTAGGTAAAGGCAGCTGGAAAGTATTTGTCCTTCAAAGTAGGCTCTGTTTTTGTTCTCATTATCTGAAGCGTTTAACACTATCAGAAACTTGCATTTCTTACAGAATAAAAAATAGGAGAAGGAACAAAAAGCTATGGCATTAATTTGCATTTCCTAAGTGTCTGACAGGAGTAGGTGGGGGAAAGAAGGGTGTTCAGACCTTAGGTTTGACTCAGCCCATGAAAGAGATGTGGCTTGCCTGACATCAGGATCCGGTGCTGTTTCCCTCTAGGACTCGGGGATGTTTAGATTTAGGATTTTGCTTTGTCCTTTTGAAAGGATTTGGTTTGACTGTTGTAAACGTTTACAAGCGTTTGAAACAGTAAGTTTACTGAATTACAACAGACTGTGTGCCATAGTTGTTTGCAGACTAATGGCAGACATTGCAATAGATGCAGTTGGTGAAATAGGGAGACCCCCATCCTACTAGAGGACCGCAAGGCAGAATGGCTAGCTCATACAAGGACGCTTAGCCAAAAAACTGCCTGGTGACTTTCATCTGTCCTTGGAGACTGACTGAGTTTCACAATCTCCTGTCCTTGCAAGCGTTTGAAGACTATTATTCTAAGCACAAGTACATGGTGAGCACAGAAGGAAGAAGAGTATGTTTGCTACTTTTTCAGGGGTGGACCTTTGCTCCAGTGCACTGTCAAGAAGGTGGGACGCTCTGAGAGAGGTGGTGAGAACTTGGGTGCATCCCATGGGCAGGGTGCAGAAACAGCCTCTGTTGCTATGCTGCTAGTGGTATTTGGCCAGCAGATCTTTCTCCCCTGTCCTACCCATTTTTATTAGGTTTGGTCTGGTCTGGAAATCCATGGGCAGGTATGCTTTAGTCCACACAGCACAGCTGCCCATGCTCTCAACTAGAGCAATTTGCTTAGGCTTCCTTTGGGCAATCTTTTTGCTTTAGGGAGTAGGGGGAAAGTAAAACCTACCTTAGTTCAGTCAGCACCCACAAATGTACGTGGTGAAACGCATGCAAAAAAGCCATAACTGCATGAATCTGTAGTGATTGCTGCACCTTCCCTACAGAATTAGCACAGTTTAAGGATTTGGGGAAGTGCCTGCTTTTGGCAATATTAGAGGGTCACTTCTAGTATCACTATACCAGCATGATGGATTAGTCATTTCAGCTCAGAAGGGATCGATGGATTGTCTATTCCATATCTCCCTGCTGAGGAGGGATTAGCTTCGTGATGTACTCAATAAGCCTCCATTCTTGGGATGAAGTTTCTCGGCGTGATTTCTTACTGTAACCAAAAGTACATTAGAGAGATACGATTTAGGTCACAAAAATAGAACACTTAAAAAATGCCAGATTTCCAATGGATTGGGTAGCACATGGTTGTCCTGTCCCTGCGTACGTGCAGCCTGGGGGTGAAAGTGGTATGTGATCACAACAGTAAGGATGGCACCATCATCACCCTTTTATAGGTATGCATTGAACTTGTAGTTACAACCTCCGTCCCACCATTCCTAACTTTGGACTGTTTGACTTTTTAATAATTTTGTTTCTAAAGGTAATTTGGGTATGAACTTTCCAATGTGCATTTAACTGGCAAAACTAAAAGAAACTCAGATTAAGCATTTGTAATTGCTGGCTTCTTCATGACTGGGATTTGAACTGGGAACCCCATTTGATGCAGTAACCATTACTACTTAAGCTCCAAGGCTGACTGGTACTTAACCAGCAGCTGGAGGAAGTTTTTCATTAAAGAAGGTTGAGCAGATGTCAGACCTAGGCTTTTGAGGTTTTCATTTGATGTAAGGTCTCAGCATGGGATAGGGAACTTTTTTTCCAGTTTGTGTGCTGGTTCT